AAGATCCATTCTTCATCTTCCAACAAGCTTGGGGACTAAGTGAGCACACTTCACCTTGCGGTGAATGTGCGCTTTTCTCATCTTGAGGCTACGCCCGGGGACTGGCTGCCTGCTCGGCTGGTTTTCTACTTTCTGACCCTGGCACCACGTGACTACATCACCTACTGTCAGGCTCGGGGACTAGTTGTGGGTGTATGGCCCCTAGTATCCACAAAACAAGACATGGGCCGCACCATCAGAGGTGGCCCAGCCCACAAGATCAAGGCGTGCACGACGCTGCTCGGCGTGCACCGTAAACTATTGTATAGTACCAAATAGGATACTTTCCTTGTAACCCTATCCCTCCATAGTATATAAGGAGAGGCAGGGGTCCCCTACTCGACATCTCAATGCAATACATCAGAACATAGGATGTAGGTATTACGTCATACTGACGGCCGAACCTGTCTAAATCTTGTGTCTTGGTGCTTGTGTTACCATCTCGCTCCTGATCTCGCTCACCTCTACGACAAATCTATCATCGTGGGATACCCCTCGGTGGACTGCCGAGCATCTTTTGTCGACAGCATAATACTGTCACGTACATAATTTTAAAAATAAAGTTTTAGTTTTTAAAAGTCTATTTGAACTAAAACCTTAGCTATAGGCAAATTTGTCAAAACTAATTTGCAAAACTATGCTAGCGACAATCTCTAGTTAAACCCAATTAAGGACTATTAGGTGGCTTTAAGTAAATTGATACTTGCTATGAGGGGGATTTACTTTACTATAAATTTTATTTCGTCGACCATACGTCGTGCTATTGTATGAATGCCATTCACTTGAATGGTAATGTATGGATCAATATACCTCTACTCCTAGGTAAGTTGGTGAGTGGCATGACCGCAAGATGTGAGCGTGCGGTCTAAAGAGAGAGGTAGTTTTGATATATATAAATATGTCTATACATACATATAAATATGCATATACAACCGTATCAAAACTAACCCATAATTAAATACCTTTGTGTGTGTGTATATATATACATATATATATAGAAGTATATGTATTCTATATATATATAGAAGTATTTAGAATGAAACCTAGAGATCAGATTTTTATTTTCGCATACATATAATTGTGTGGTTGGGCTAAATGGAATCTTCTACAGGTACGCTAACCACGAATGTGTAGATTGAATATAGCTGACGACTAGCTATATATCAAGAGAGTACGTATTATGCCACCGACATAGAACGTGATTGCCACCTTAGGCTGGCAATTTTGTGAGGATGAATAGGACGGTCATGCATCATGATTGTGCTTGTGCATAAATATGCTTCCCTCACTTGGTTCTAATACTAAGTAACTTGTGATTAATGTGATGTTACTATCTTCCATGTGTAAAGCTAGGCAAAATACCTTGTTCCATGTTGTTTGAATAGTTATGCTTTGAAGATAGTGTGTGATTTGCTTTGCCTTGTATATTTGCTTCCGAAGGAAATAGATGACAAGTTAGTAGTTAGTAAAAACTTCACCCTTTTGAAAACTAAAACTTAGTGATACCTTGTTAGAAGTCTGCACATGCTTTTCTTTTAAATATAATGTCAGGTTCTTCCTTTCAAGTTATCTTCACATTAGTTCTTTAGACGTGTGGTTGCTTGCTTTCTAGGTATTACCATGATGTATGTGTGAATATATTGTGATCTAGGTGGTACCATAGTTGTCACCCTTTTTATCATCGGTAAGCATACGAGTGTCGAAGAGCCTTATCCTGGAGCAACACCCAAGTTATGTTAACCTCATGGTTGTCTCAAGTAGATTCTCTTGCTTAGGAGCTTGAGCCTGTGTGTGTGATTGTTAGCCCTTGAATGTTTGTGTATTTATGCCTTTGCTTGACCCATGAGCCCAAGCTTAGTTTCATTAAATGCTTGTATATGTCGTGGATGTCTTGACCCTACCCAAAAAAATCCATATCAGATATCTCTGCCCTTATCTTAAAGATGGTCTGGTTCAACGTTAATCTCTATTGTCCTGTCTTTGGAATCTTTTCCTAACAGATCGTGTCGTTGCTTTATCAACTGAATCCCTAGTCCGTGTATCGGCTCTATCCCTCGAATCTCGTTTGTTTTATCTCTAAATATCTCAAGTCTCTGAATGTTTATCAGTCTTGATCTCATATTGCTGTCCAACAAGACCGTATCTCATATTACTCTTTTATCTGGTAATCTCCTTGGTAAAAACAAGACATTTGTGAAAATTTTAGGCTAGAATTTCACGCCCAGTTGTTTTCGTTAGTTAATTTATGTTTTTTATGTGCCATGTCTCTGTCTTAGACCACTCCTTGTTGACTCCCTAGGGAACGAAGGGTCAAGCTCGAATGTCTGTGTAACCAGAGATTGCCAACAAATTCAACAAAAAGAAGCCAGACAAGCCAAACCACAAGAGATATACGAGATAGGTGCATCCAATGTACTAACACATAGTAGTAGACAGCTCTAACACTATTGACACAGGTCATTGTGTTCATGAATCTTCAATTGACAGATGCAGCAGCAACAGATACTCTTAAGACTTGAAAGCTCACCATTCGCCACGGCGGATGCCTGGAGCTGAAGCTTGGCCATAGACTACGCGCTTGCTTGCTCGCGTAGACCTGGAGGCTGAAACTTGAGCCGACGACTCGAGCTGGAGCAGCAGCCGCCGCCGCTCACCTCGGATGCGCACGCGCCGCCGCCCGAGCTCGAGGCCTGGAGCAGCTGCCGCCGGAGCTGGACCAGAGCTTGCGCGTTGGTGAGCCCTCGCGTGCTATGAGAGGGACGGAGGTGCGGGGCCTGCCCACCGGGGGGCACGCGCTGGTGAGCACTGCGTCGCCGCCTCCCGGGTCGCCGGCTCACCGCGCGCCTCGCCGCCTCCCAGGTCGCCGGCTCGCCGCTCGCCTCGCTGCCAGTCGCGTCGGCGCCGCCTTCACCACCGCGTCTCCCTAGGGTCAGCGCCCGCCACGCCGGCTCTCTGGGTCGCCGCTCACCTCGGACGCGCACGCGCCGCCGTCCGAGCTGGAGGCCTGGAGCTGCTGCCACCGGAACTGCACCAGAGCTCGCGCGCTGGTCAGCCTCCGCGCGCTAAGAGAGGGATGGAGGTGCGGGGCTTGCCCACCGAGGGCTGCGCGTCGGTGAGAATCCGCCCCGCCGCCAGCCACCGGGGGCCGCGCGCCGGTCACCACCCGCGCCCGCCAGGAGCTGCGGGAGACGATATCGCGCTAGGAGAGGGAGGGAGGTGCGGGGCCTGCCCACCGGGGGCCGCGCGCCGGCGAGCCCCCACGCCAGCCACCGGAGGCCGCGCGCCGGTGACCACCCGCGGCCGCGCCCGCCAGGAGCTCCGGGAGACGATATAAGAGAGAGAGAGAGAGAGATCGCACGCGCAGCTCCTGTTCATTTTCTGATTCAAAGAAGCGGCATCGGAGACGTCGAAATACTGTTATACCCTCCTCGTTTATTTAAAAATCAGTTCCGGGTCGGTTCCGGCCCACAGCTTAATCTCTGTTTGGCTGGTATTAAAATCGGTTAATAAACTGGTTGTAGCTGATTTGTTGTGAAAAAAAAATACTATAGTTTTTAGCTGAGAAAAATATCATAGTAGTTTTAAGTAATAAATTCAAACGAACATGCTCACGATTGGATCTAACGAAACTGGAGGGCTCTCATTTATTGCAAGCGTAGTAAAATTTCTCTTAAAAGTATACTAGTAACTTTCGGCCTGGGGTATAAGCCTAGGTTTAGCAGCCGGTGGAAATTTGTAACATGTGTTTACTGTATCCTCTTAATAAAAAACATGCTAGGCACGTTCGCAAAACACACACACAAGTACTACAACGTAGTTACAATGTTTTTTTTTATTAAAACCTAGGTACAATGTTGCGATATTTTGAAATACAACATCAAAACAATTATCATATGCCCAGACCATTTTAGTTGAGAGAGCTCCCGCCGAGGGCCCATTACACGGGACAGAAGCCTAGGCTTATAAGGGAGTGTTCGGCTAGGTTGTAAAGTCGTTGGTGCTGATTTATATGGCTAATTTTTTTTAGAAAAAAAATAATGTATGATGACTTATAAACCAGCGAATAAACTGATATAAGACCATCCAAACACTCAGTGATCACATTCATAGCAGCCTGTACGGCCCATGAAAGCCGAGCGTGTGTACAACAGGCCGTTACACTCACGCAGTCCCGTTTGCTAGTTCGTGCTCTGGGCCTGTGGCCGCGCGCACCAACGCGGCGACCGGCGAGGCGACTATGCCCATCAATCAAATACCCAAACAATCTTTTCCCCAAGCAGCTGTACAAAATGCAAAAGCCTTAGTGATGTGTGTGTGTAGAATTTTGGTGAGTTGGCTAAACACAACGTGGAAGATAGTAGAAACAGGTACCCGAAACTACATGCCTTTTCCAGCCATGCATTTTCAATTTGTCGTTCAGGCCTCGTTTAGATTGCGTCAAAATTCTAAGTTTTTTCACTTTTTCTCCATCACATCAATTTTTAGACGTATGTATGGAGCATTAAATGTAGGTAAAAAAATAACTAATTACACAGTTTGGTTGTAAATCACGAGACGAATCTTTTGAGCCTAGTTAGTCTATGATCGGACAAAGTTTGTCAAATACAAACGAAACGTGCTACAGTGTCCAGATTGCAAAAATTTACAATCTAAACAAGGCCTCAGTTTTTATGTAGAGGACAGAATGTGTTTGGTGACTTGGCATACTAGAAACCTGGAACCAAGCACCTTATCACACTTATACAGACACCCAGACATCAGTGTCACAGTAAGCATTGAGTTGCAGCACCATCATAGTACAGTACAGACCCCAGCAGATGCACATGGACCAACTCTCCACACGAACCGATTGAAGTTACCACGACGGCCTGACAATCACATCGCATCCACAGTGGACTAGCTCTACCCTTCTAGGCTTCTACAGCCAGACTCCTCTATAAACCTCGCCATGGCTTTCACGGTCACTCCCCGTAGAAGGCCTTCTCGAAGGTCTGCAGGTACTGAGGCTCGAGCGCGAAGAGCACGTTGATGGGGTCGTCCTTGTCGTAGCCCTGCGTGACGTAGGCCGTGCCGCTGCCGAACATCTGCGCGGGCGCCACGAACCCGGGGCGGCCCCACCCGAAGTCGGCGTCGTGGATGGGCATGCCCAGCCAGCTGACCACCCACAGGTCGGACTCCGGCATGAACTGCCCGCGCGCCGCCTGGTTGCCCTTCTCTGACTCCAGCTCCAGGTAGTCGACGACGGAGCGCACGAAGGCGTCGTCGACGCGGGACACCGCGCGCTTGATCCGGTCCGCCACGAACCCGAGCGGCTGCGACAGCACGTCGCCCACCTTCACGGTCACCAGGTCCCGCACGATCGCGTTGCCGAAGTAGGTGGCGGGGAGAGGCGGCCGGAGGCGCTGCCGGATGTTGGCGGGCACGCGGAGCCGCGTCTCGCCGTCGGCCGGGAGGGCACGGGCCACGCACATGGCGCGCCACAGGTGCGCCGTCACCGCGCAGTACGTGGACGCCCCGGCGCGCACCGGGACCGGATGTCGGCCAGGAGCTTGGGCGGGACGGTGTAGACGCGCGTCACGAAGGGCCGCGGGGACCCGTTGAGGTACGCCGGCGAGTAGACCGGGTGCTCGAAGGGCACGTGCGGCGGGGAGCGCGCGCGCAGGAGGGTCCGGTCGTGGAACGGCGACCACGAGGGGGACTCCCCGCGCGCCAGCGCCGTCCACGTCCGGATGAACTGGATCGCGCCGGCGCCGTCCATCGTGACGTGGTGCATGCCCGTGCCCACGGCCACGCCGCCGCACTTGAGGAAGGTCACCTGCAAAGATCAGTTTTTTTTCCTGGTTACACTTGCATTACATTCTGAATGATGTTCTGACTCACACCACACCAGCTTAATTGTTTATCGATTTGCCCACCAAAAGCAGCAGATCAATGCAAAACGGATTTCCAGACAGCAGATTCCAAATTGTTCAATGTATTGTATATTTCTTCCATTATTAAATAACAAAAATGGGCATTCAAAGAGGGTCCCAATTTGTTAGGAGCGCCAAAGGTGGATTTGACTTGCAAGTTGCAGCCACCAAGCTCTGAACTTATCTACTAGTAATAAAAACCTTATGATGGTAAGATAAAAAAAAAAGGCGTGCTCTAATCACACACTTATCTTGTCTCTCTCTGAGTCTCTGTACATAACGGTTGGCCGTTGTAGTCCACCGCCCGAGGATCCAAATCAAGCTTGCTCGCATCATGACAGCAATCGCTAGGCCAATTTGCAAACATCTTGAAAACATCGGCCACGCCCAGGATCATGCCGCGATAAACCTCGTTGTCACCGTCAGGCATCCATCAACGACGGGCGGCGCTTCGTCGTGGCATCCCCATACCGGTGCCGGCCACACGGCAGCGGCGATTCTGATCGATTCGACACATCAGCATCGCCGTCGCAATCTATCCCGACAGTTATGGCGTGGGAAGGATTTTGTTTGTTTGTTTTTTGGTTTGGCTGAGATCGATGGCACTATCGATCATGAAGGTTTCTGGCGTGGCAAGGAGTTTTTTTTTCATTTTATACTTCATTTTGAGCGAAGCGAGCACGTCTGCAAGCACATCCAGAATTCCTCCTGATCCAGGAAGCATGGCCGTCTGTGTGCGAGGTACGTAAAGCGAGGCGGTCACATTCGGGGCAAAGGGATAAGGGCACGTTCAACAGTTTAGACGGCTGCCGTATGCAAGCACGGGTCATGTCACATAGAGACAGCAATACAGACAAATTATACAATGGATTGTCTTTTAGGCTATCTACAAGATAATTAATTCTTATACAGACTCATAAATTAAGTGATCAAAAATGGCTTGGGAGCACGAGCCCCGTCGTACAACGGTGCTGGAGCGGGCGATAAAGCTTGGGAGCACGAGCCCTCGTTGTCTCTTCGCGAAGAGACGGCACACCCGTCTGTTGATTGAGTCGAGGGGTTTTTTGCAAAAATGATATCTCCTAGACGACAAAAAAACGACCGTTGTACGTGCCCTAGGGGGCAGGGAGACGCGTGGCGGGCACAACCCATCTATTTGCATCTCAATGATTGGATCACTCTAGAAGCAAACGCAATGATCTCTGAGCTATTATGCATGGGGAAGGGGAATGGGATTTGGAACACCGGAAATCCGGATAGATACGAGTTGGAGAGTTGGCACGCATGGGCATGATTAGTTTGCCTTTCCCTGCGTGCACGAGAGACACTGCAATATCATGCGCCGCAGTTTACTTTCGTATCATTAAATTTTGAGCAAATTTGGCATCCTAATCAGGAGCGTTTTGGCCGATTTGTAGCTAGCCTTCCCGTGCCCAACACTATTCTCTCTCACAAAACAATATTCAAACATCCAAAACCAGCGGAAATAATAACTCCAACCGATGAACAGTATATTTCGATTGGTTTTAGATAATTAAATAGTGTTATGTGAGAGAATAAGCTGAGCTGGGACTGTACCAGCCGAACGGGCGGCTGCTTGGAGTGTGGCCCGTATGCACGAACTCGTACTAGTAGTACTATCGTCTTCCGCTTTCGGTGAACGAAAGGAATCTTTTGACGGTGAAAAGTAGTAAAATGGGCCTGTTCGGCTGCTTGGAGTGCGGCATCTTAACAGCGGTTGGCTGTCACGATCACCCACCGTCAAAGTGACCCCATACATGTACCAGTGCGTACACTGCGTGAGTAGTACTGACAACTGCATACTAGCTGACAGTTCGTTGCACCGACCAGCGGGCAAGTTATTGACTCCGAGCCGTCCTTTGTCCTGAGCAGCAGTGGCCTGCTAGTCCTAGGAGAAGACCGTGGGAAGGGTACAGGGGCGAAAACTGCTGCTCATCCGTGTGTTCTGGGACGAGCCAAGCCCTATCGATCGTCGGTTGGATGTTCAGCCAACTGCTCTTCCCAGTAGTGATAAAAAAAAACTGCTCTTCCCAGTAACCTACGAAACGGCCTAAACAAAAGTCAACTGCGACGAAGTCCATTCCGTAGGCGTAACGTGCCTGCTGCTGCTGGTTCGAGGTGGCTAACACGAGGGGGCGCCACCGGCCTCGGCTCACCGCGCCCGGTTCCGAGACATCAGATAAAAAAAAAAAAAGATGCACTCGACGGCCGCGTCGACCGGGGCAGGCGCGAAACTGTGACTGGTGACCAGGGGGGACCCACACCCTACGGCCGGCCCTGTTGGTTTTGGTCCCTCGCGGACGCCGTACGTCTTGCCGTGACCGGTGAGTTTGCGCGCCGCGCAGCGGCATATCCGCCACGCTCTTTTGGTTCTCGGCAAAAAGCTTTTCAACACGAACCTGTCGCGAATCTACTGAATACATTATAAATTATAGTTCATTTGACTTTTCTTTTCTTACCTTAAGTTTAATCACTTGTCTTATTCATAAATTTGTGAACGGAGTAATTGATTCTTAGATAAAGGTTTTAATTTTAATGTTTATCTATATATATAAAAGAAATGTACTTATTCAATTTGGCATGGACGGCTATAGTACAAGTAAAGCTTCTTGGAGCATCCGTCGCTCCACACGTATTGATTCGGGCTTAACTAGTGGTACAGTACGAGTGTCCGACCACCATACTACCCCGCTGTCCTGTCCCGGTGGGCCCCACGAGCAATAGAGACACAAGAGCTAGTGGCTGGCCCCACGAGCCAGCAGTTGATTATCCTAAGGTTCTAGCATCCTCCTAGGTGTCTTCTGACCCTGATTTGTTTTTTTCATCTTTTATTTACGGACCGACGTGCCGCGCGATACCAAGCGGTAGCCGGCTGGAAAGACAGTTTAATTATGCACCGGAACCGGCCGATCACGACGCGTAGACCCTGATTCAGCAAGCAAGCCTAGCGGTAGCGCGGCCCGAGGGAGGGGGTGAAACAATCAAAGCAAGGAGCCAAGGAAGAGGAAGGCAGCGCGAGCGCACCTGAACCATGGCGAGCACGCAGGGCGGGTCGCCGGAGGCGGCGAAGGGCACGAGCAGGCGGCGCGCCTCGGGGGAGGGCTCGAAGTCCCTGAACATCTCGTCGCCGGTGAAGTCGGCACGCGCGACGGCGAACAGGGCGCCCTCGCCCGTGCAGTCGATCTCGATCCGCCCCCCCTGGCCCACCGCGAGCCGCCCCGCCAGCGGGTAGAACGCCACCAGCGCCCTGGCGAGCGCCTCCCGCAGGCGCGCCGGGTCGAAGAACGACCCCTCCCCCTCTCGCTCCTCCACGGCACCGGCACCGGCGGGCGCATCGGGCCTCGGGTAGTAGTAGACGAGCGGCGTGTGGGTCTTGGGCACCGCCAGGTCCAGGTTGGACAGCCACAGCGCGTGCCGCGGCGTCGCCTCGCTCGGCGGCACCAGCGTCGTCTCCACCACCTCCACCTTCATCCTCGCCCGCTCTGATTTGTGCGCTGGTGCGTGTGTGTCTGTGTCTGCCTCTCTGGTCTGCAGTGTGCTTGAGCGGCGCGCTATTCAGGGAGGGTGATGGTTTATTATAAAAGAGCGGATGGGAAGGGGATGGGGTTAATTGTCTAATTGACGTGTCTGTGCTGTGCTGTTGATCCACATCGACTAATCTAACGCCTGCGGCTAATCGTCCTCACGTGCGCTGGCACATGGAGGGAACGAGAAAGACGTTGCGATCCGGCTTGTCGTTCGCCCGTGGTAACTCGACTAGCACATCAGCGTAGCACATCATCGATTAACATTAATTTGTACTATCTCCATTCTCGTTTATAAGGCGCACAGCCGCACACGGCATACTAAGATTTAAGCTTTAAAAACCTTGAGCAATAATTTAACTAATAAATTTTAATTACTATAACATAAAACTTTAAGGTTAGATTTGCAATTAAATCATTACTATAATTTTTTAACTAAATAATATAAAAATCAAATAAATAGATAATCAAAGTGCAATTTGGAAGATCATATCATATCAAGTTGCGCCTGAAAAAGAAATGGACGGAATAATAGTTTATCCATTTACATAAGTAATTGGATGATGTGTTAATTCCCATCTACTAATCCCTTGACAACGCATCAGGCTAATTCTCACAAGTTTTTAGACTGTTTTTGGTTAACAAATTGGGGAATTTATAACTATCGGTCTAAGGGAGCGGCTCCTCAAACTACTTGTATTATATTATAAATTATTTCTTTTGTAATATAATAATATGTACACAGCGTGCGTATTTGAGCTTTAAAAACCTTGAAAAATTTAACTACGGTTTTAATTACTATAACATAAAACTTTAAGGTGATTTGCGGATCTGCAATTACCATAAATTTATAACTGAATAATATAAAAATCAAATAAATAGATAATCAAAGTGCAATTTGGAAGATCATATCAGCGAGCGCGCCTTAAAAACAACAGCGCAGCAGGGTAGTAACCAGCTGTCAGCGTCCAGCACAACAGCTTGTTCAGCCCTATAGGATTTTATCCTAATCCGCCACTGGGCCCGTGGAAACTCTTGCGCGCTTGTCGGGAGCGCGGCAGCATATACGGCTTGCGTGACACTGGAGTGATGCGGCTTTTTGTCGGCACCTTTCCCGTCCGTTCCATGCGCCTTCCCCCTTGGCCCTTGCTCTTCCAAGTCAAGACCAAAAGGTGGTGGAATACTGATGGATGCATCGTGCGTGGCTGGACTATTTTTCCCCCTTTTACCGTGGCTTCCATGTAGTATATCTTGATTGATCGATCCTTCCTAACCGCTGCGGTGCGGCAAGTATTGTTTTCCTCTCCGGAGCACGTGAAAAGCTCGCCGCCGCCGCCGCTGATGTTGTCTACGCTGCAGAACAGCACAAAGGTGCGTGTGTGTCGCCGACGTGGAATGGCCGAATGGGAGTCCATGAAATTCTGCGGATAAGCAAGTGCACAATATATATTCAGCATGTTCGCTTGTTGATTTTAGTTAGGACTTATCAGTCATGATATATATTTTCTCTCATAACAAATCAGTCGTACAAATCAAAGATAAACGACTTATCGAACCAGCGAACAGACTGAATCAGGTGACCATGTCAAGTCAAACACGTGAAAATGCGTTTCACAGGGAGGGAGTGATTGAGTGAAGTGGCGGCTCCGGCTCCGATCTCATTTAGAAAAATATGGTCATGGGCACTGACGTATCTTGCGGCTGCTATCACAGAACGTACCTGTATACAATATGCAAAGTCCACTTTGGATTTGGAAGTATATTTGTCAATCACAATATTGTTGCAGCCCACTATACTAATAGAAGATAGAAGAATAAAAGGGCCAAGTTAATTAAGCCATGTTCTCTGCATTTTAGCAGGGAGCAACTTGGACGGCAGCCACCAGTCTGACCTGGCCGCTCCTCAGCATCGCTGAACAAAAATGTCTGGCCTGGGACTGGACTGGCCGGCGGGCCGGGCGCCTTCACTCTCAGTTAATGGTAGTTGTCAATTGTTTAAGAGCTCCATGGCTACAGTCATTTGAAGCTAAAGAATCAGTTGAATGAATCATCAGCCATTGTGCCGTGCATCCATCAAGGCCGGTCCAGTTGGCCGTCGTCCTTGGCTCGTCGTAAACGATAGTAAATTTTCAGCCGGAACATTATTTTTCTCTCACACAAATTAATTAGCAGTATTTTTTCACGAACCAGCAACGAAACGAACCAACCAACCGAACAGGCTGCTCGTTGAGAACTCAGCAACGTTCTTATTTATAAAAAGAAAAGTAGCGACGTGTACTGTTGTAGTGCAGTACTGGTCGGTGCTTCCGCAGCTTTTGTTTGGAGACGAGACCATCAGCTATGGTCTAAATTACTGTTGAATGATTTATTGTGAGAGAAAAATATTGTTCGTTGACTGAAAAAATACGGTTTATAAGCCAAGCGAACAGGGCGTTTGCCAGCCATTGAGAAATCGGATCAGATTCAGTAATTGTTGGTCAGTGATCGGCAGAACCTGGTTATCTGGCTCCATTCTGTATTGTATTGTGCCCCTTTGGTCTTTTTATTTTCTGATTGATGAGACGGTATGATTGTGAATGGTTTTCCACAAACTTTCAGAAAATGTATCTGCTTTTTCCTTCGATCCAAAAGGCCGCCTACTGCTCTGGAATTTGGATGCGCACAAGTCGTCAGTGGAGGAGGCGATTTTGTTGCAGTCGTTTGCGTTGCCCTGGTGTGACGCCGTCCGACGGCGGAACGGCCGCGCGTTCTTGGCGCTCGCCGCCGCTCGGTCTCGACTCATGGATCGAGCAGACGAACACGAGGGCGTGGCAAGGAAGACCGACGAGCGAGTCCCGCCTGAGGTCAACGTCAACTGTCGTCCTACGATCCGAAAGGCGAACCCAACTCGAGACTTGGGCCATGTTTAGGCGCCCCAAATTCCAGAATTTGATACTACTCGAGACTAAATGTGCAGCGTTTTAAGCCTAATTAGTCAATGATTGAGACAATTATTACCACTAAACGCTTCTGTCCGGTTTTCCGGCGGCGCCGAATCCGGCGTGAACTAAACATGGCCTTGCATCTACTACTACATTCTTGTCCTCCCGTCGCCGAGGATGAACACCACCGCCGTTCCGATCAGCGTAACCGATCAACCGCGACGGACAGGGAACGTTGAAAGTCAAGTCGAGCCGTACGGGCAGGGACAGAGGCGCTCGCACCCGCGACAGCAGATGTGGCCGCCTGCCACTGCCATGACACGTTCCCTCCTCGCGACCTCGCCTGCTCGTGCCGTGCCGTACGTCACCGCGGCCGTGGCGCCGGTGGAAACAACACGTCGTGCCGTCGCGAGCGTCAGCTTCTGGGTCGTGGGCACAGAGGAAGGGAATTAAACGCGCGCGCTGACCGGCAGGTTTGGATTGGACGCGCGCGCTAGCTGCGTCCTGGCGGGGCGGCACCGCCGCGGAGGCCCGACGAGGCGACGACGTGGGCAGCGGGTGCCCGTGCGTGACCGGCGAGGTAGCTTATAGGACTTTACTAGGTGTACTGTGTACCCCCAGGCACCCGGCACGACCTGCTGCTGTCTTGGGGCTTCGCGAGGCCGGGCAGATCGACGTCGGAGTGGACACTGGACAATGGGCGGCGTTGACACTAGTACTCCTTCTTTTTTCTCTGTGTCTCGGCGTCACGTTGCTGCCAGTCGGTAGCTGGGTCGCTGTCGCTTGATGACGGGACACTGGCAGCGCCCACGAAGGCCTTGTTTAGATTGTTTCAAGTTCGGTTCTATTCTATCTTCAGTCTGTCCTCTTTGTTTTTTTATATGGAGGCAAAAATGTGCTGGTTAAAAAAGCATGTAGAGTTTGGTGGTAAACGTGAGCTTGCTTTTGGCACCAGCTAGTAAAAAAATCGGCGCAAGTTTGTCAAATACAAACTTAACAGCCTTACAGCCAAGATTAAAAACTGAAAATCTAAAGAGGCCGAAGGCACAACAGGCCTCGTTTCCGGTCCGGTTCTGATATCCGCAGTCTGTCCTCTCTTTTTTTTTTCCCGGAGGCAAAACCCTGCAAGATTCCAAACTGTTAGAGTATTATTAAAGTCGGTCCATAAACCGACTGCACTTCAGCAGAAACGCTAGCAACAAAGAGAACAAAGAAAAGCGTTCAAACGGGCCATGGCACCGGCTTATAAAAAGGCGCAACGTAGCCACTACTTAACAGCCTAAGCCAAGATGACAAACAGGCCCTGTGGATAGCTTCGCCTAGCTTCCAGAAATCCTGTAGCCATATCTTTTTTTTTATGACAACGACTTTTAATATATAATGTTAAAGCACGGTACACCATAGCGTGGGAAAAAAATTCCTATATTACAAGCACAATCAAGTAAAATCTACTGCTTCTGTAGACATAGGAGATGCTCCCGTCGGGGGCGCAGAGCCCACGAGAAGTGGCCACGATAGAAGCATCTAGGGTTCTTGTTCTCGCACTTCAAACGACAAAACACTCCTCGATCGTTCGATCAGCCTGTGTCTTGAGCATAAATAGAAGATATTTTTATGGGGGCGTGAGCCATCAGTGTCAAATTTAGGGCCCACGAGAAAACGTTGCCACGATACCCGAAGGCTAATAGCTGCTTTGTTCTCGTATCAGCAGATAAACACTAAACGCAGGACACTGGCGCTTGCTTTGATCGTCACCCGCCAGCTTCGAGAATAAATTAAGGCGTGGCAGGCACGAGACAGCCAGATAGGACGTCCTGCATTCCACGTTGCGCCCCAAAGAAAATAGTACGACAGCCACCCGTGTCAAATTTAAGGACCTGCAACAACGATTGTCGGCGCTTTCACACTGCCGTATCTGCAGACGAACAGAAACGCAGGACACTGGAGAACATGAACTTGCTTTGAATCCGTCACCCGCCAGCCACCGAGAAGTACTCCCTCCGTCCCGAATTAATCGGACGTCTAG